TTTTGTGCAGAGCTAGTAAAGGTTTTTCTCTTTCAGTCTTAGCTTGTTTCTGTGGAGCGCCTGCTCTGTCTCCATCAGTTTCACAGCCCTGGCATTGTAGAAAAGCTCTGGTTGCATGGCCATTAATACCCCTTTCTTTCCGGGTGAGTGTTGCATTAAATTCAATTGAATATTAAACAAGAAGACATAAGATTTTTTCTTGCTGTAAGTGGCTGAATTTTACCAAGAAGCTACATTATGGCCTTTAGCATAGAGTATTTTAAAACAAGAATACATGACAAAATACAGCTAGATTACTGAATAAGACCTAGAATAAGTGACACTAAAAATGGCAAGTGCTGTTCTTGTAAGAGAATATGTCTATCTACTGATCAAGATTTAGTGATTATTTTATAAATGGAGGCTTTCTTCAGGCTCCCTAGAAAATACAAAGTCCAGTTCTTGACTCCACTACCACTGCTTTAATAGAACTCTAAGAGTAATGTCATGTTCCATTAGAAAGGAAGATTTTCAGTAAACTCTGCATGAGCTTTTCTTAACAATTGTGTCAGAAAGGCAAATGATAAATTTAAAGATATGTAAAACTATATTAATATTGCCATAAAGAATAATATCTCAATAACCATATATAATTTTAATTTTTATACAACTTTCTTTTTTAATCAACATTCTTTAGCAAATCAATCTTTTATAACCCTTGGCATATAACAAACATTCTTTTGTGTAATTGTATTAGTTTTTTTAAATTCTTCCCTCGAATGTAGAGTAATGTTTTATTTTCATAATGGTTTAGATGGAATGTGTTGCATGCAATTGTTAAATATTCACATTCAAAACTCAAACACTTTAATTATTTGTATGGGTCATACTAATTTAGCTACCATTACATGAATACTTAATAAAACAAAGTAAATCAATTTTAGTACCTTTCCAAGTGAATTGGGAATTTAGCATAACAATTATTTTTTGATTACACTGGACAGTACAATGGCATGCCATTCTATCAAAATATGGAATCATTCATTTATTTCTTCATTGACCTTCAAGTTCTTGTTATTTGAATGTGGGCTCCCTCTCTCAATTTGCTTGTCTCCTCGCCCCTTCTGAGACTTTTTATTTTTTTTTTTCTCTCTGCACACACACAGTCAAACCTCTGTGAGTTAGCCTCTGCGTAGCTGGTGTCCCGGTGGTAACGAATCGGGCAAGGTCAGCAGCTCCCAGCAACCAGCACCTCCATCAGAGCAAACGAGGCTTTCGACTCCCTTAAGGAGTTGTCTCAGAACCCCCCGGGGGCCATTCTACCCTGCTTATAGGGTCTCTGTAGTCAGAATATCTAAGTACCAATAGGATTTGGGGATTTTAAAAGAAATTTTTTTAAAACCCTTACCATTTCTAGAAAGCAGAAAGAATAGGAATTGACATTTGCAAACAACTTTGCATAATGTGAACAAGACTTGTTAATGTTACCCTCAATAAGCAAATCTTTATTAAAATTTCATAAATGTTTGCTACCATGATGTCTTGATTGTGTTAAATAGCCAATGAATGAAAATGAAAAAAGAATTTAAGTGAAAGTGAATGTAATTTTAACCTGAATTTTGTCAACTATGAAATAAAGTCATATTTACACATTTTTAGTATCAGAAATTAGGTAAATATTTTGAAAGACTGAAGGTGACAACTTCTTTACCTCACCATGGAGTCAAAGCAGTTATGTAGATTTGTCATGAATGACATCATTTTT